GACCATGGAAAGGTAGATTTTGGCAGACAAGTGGAACACCCCTAAAATATCTAAATATTGTATACCATAATGTATACCACCTATAATCTATTCGTGGAAATACCAATTTTAAATTAAATATGTAAATCACAATAGTAGGTAGGTAATCACTTGATAGACGATAGTAGTTGATACTCCATAGAACTGTAACATAGTAATATATAAAATATATAAATAATATCACTTATATAAGAATAAAATAATAATCCTTGTGAATGAGTAATAATAAGTATACTGATAGATAGCAAAGGTCTTCTATTAACATTTAGGTTTTGCGATGTTGTACAAGCTATTATAACTCGATATTACAGCATAATATATTAATACGATCTATAGATTTATATGATGTCATAGTTTTTATTATGAACTATAATAAATAGGATCAATAGGATTCTAAAAAAATGTGATAAAGATACTGATATCTGATTAGGAAAATTAAATATTCTGTATTCAGTGCTATACTTTTATAGATATATCATAAACATTTATATAAATTACCTGAGTAAAATAATTTTACGTTTAATATTTTTAATTTTATACAGCTTTACAAATTACATTTATGCACACTTTACTACGTATAATAATATTATTCAATATAAATAGTATTACTTTAGACTTTAAATATAACTGGTTGATCATAAAATAATTTAAGTTAAGTGTTGGAATTTAAAGTCAGTCGTAATACAGTGTGCCGATAATTATTGTTTTATGGCAAGGGTAACTTGGTAAAAAATCAAGAACTAATAATATTTGTTCACTATATTATAGCTTCTACTAGATGATATATAAAGGGATATAAAATATTATATATATATATGTCTATAAATTCTCTATGGCTTCTAATTTAGGTAAATTTATTTTAATTAATTAACCAACCTTACATTATCACGCTTTTACATAATATTTAGGAGTGTAAACTCAATACATAGTTATCAATTATACTGAAGTCATCTAATTTTCGGGGTACCTACTGAAGTCCGAAGTAAATTTTATACCTAGGTTTACCTAGTACACCTAGTGTCTGGCATCTATAAAATATTGAGATTCAATAATATCTATAACTACTCCGGTACAATATACCTTTATTGATTCTCTTAATTTTAGATTCTGAGAGGAGCGAGGAAGCTAGTGGTTTTGCAATGGTTTTTATATCCTGTATACAAAATTTCCACCAGAAGGAGTGCTTCGATTTCAACATATAGTACCTTATCTTTTAGAAAATTGGATCAAGATGGTAGTTTACAGAGGTCGTTTTTCGATTTTATCAATAGTTATTTAATGCCACGGGAAAAACCACCGAAAAATTACGAAAAACCGCTTTAAATGTTATTTTAATTTTTAGCACTTTGTCTATCACCATAGAAATGAATAAAAAATTATAATATTATAATATTAATTCAACTTACATGATATAATAAATAATAGCAATATAAAATATCCAGACTGACTGCAAACCGTCTCCGTTCAGAATCGTTTTTCTTATACAATGATATTATATCATTGAATTCAAATTTAATACAACCTATATACAATGACCCATTTGTAACCTACTGTACAGCAGAGCGACATCCACTTACCCGTTTTTTTTTTTTAAACTTAGATTTGTTTTTCAAGTTTTGGATTATACAATTCTAGATACTTAACATAAAAATACATATTTACAACCTAAGTTATGTACCTAAGTATTAAAGTTCAGACTGGAAACCGGTATAATATATTATACTATGAATTATGAAAGAAAAAGGTTTAGGAATAGGAATGTTTGTGTTACGGCGAGGCCATTTATAACTGTTTACTGTGTCTTATATCTATATTGTAAAGTGAAGACATTTTTATTTTACGATTTGAAGGAGTAGATAATATTATATTATTCACAAAATACAGAATATATATATATATATATATATTTGGGTGTATGCCAAAGTCCTGCTTTTAAAATTACGGCTGACAGTTTTACAACATTAAATTAAATCAACTACCGATATACGAGTTAAATATATTTAAAATTCATAATCACTTCCTGTCCATATTATCATGGTGCCATTGTATCAAGCTAATCGCCATATTTAAGATAAAATACATTAATAAACTAATAAGGCCACTTTTAATAGTATTATTGTTGCACGTGAAACATTATCAATTTAAGTGTTATAGGTAGGCACTATAGACACTATAGACACTATATATAATATTACTGTAATCAATTAATTAATTTACTACTCAATGCAATACGTTGAATGTTGATAGTATATTATTTAGTTCAATGGTTTTATAGATTAGACTTAACATTTGTAGTAAAATGTCTACAGTGACGGACTTCATATTTTTACATGACGCACCTACATATACATCATACGTTAAATCAAATATTTTTTGTGAATGTGTATAACCTTTATGAGTCAAATTATTATTTATTTTATGAAGTAGGTTCTTATGATTTATTACTTTATTAGTAATATTAATTAGTATAATGTTGACAACAATGTTTCATTGATAATAATAAAAAAAAATATCACAAATAAATAGAGTTGAAAAATAAAAATGATAATTAAATTCATAGTTTTTTTTATACCTGCTTAAACTTTTTATAGTAGAAAAAATGCTTTAATATTTAATTTCAGGGGTTTCTGGTAGCAAATTGGATCTATATAGTTGGTACTTTTCAAATAATTTGGGAAAAACAGGATGTTTGACTGAAAACCAATTTTCTACTTTTTTTTTTATTGTTGATAAACACAATAAGCTTTTATAAGTGAGTAAAAAAGCTTGAACATTTTATACAAGGGATTCATAGACATTTTCAAAATATTCCAAATAATTTAAAACAATTAAAACTATATCATGAAACCTACTCGCACCATTATAAGGTACGTCGGTTGGTATTGAATTATAAGTTAAAATATTAATAATATTATTATATAATATATGTGATTTATGTTAGGCAAAAATTAGTTCAACCTACCGTATTACTAATAGAAAAATAAGATACCAATAATATACATGAAATAAAATATTCTGAGAAATATAGGCTAATAGGTATACCATCTCCCCTCAGAATCGTTTTTAATCGTATACAATATGATTTATCATTGAATTCAATTTGAATACATATCCATTACAGAGTCCTACTTAATGTCCAGGTACAACTGACACTATGCGGAAGAACAAATTGCCTGGTTATTTGTTTTCATTTAATTGTAATTAATTTGTTCACTTTTTAAATATATTATTGTTATGTATTTAAAAAAAAATATAAGACCTAATATGTATTCAAAATAACAAAATTGTGTTAATATTTAGTCCAATTTCATTTAAATATAAATTATTAACTGATATGAAGATACTTAGCAGACTTAAAATATTTAATCAACTATATTGTCTATATGCCTATAATATTACCTACCTACAATACTATACATATCATATCAATTATTAAAAACGGTCATTCTGAGATAACTATTTGTTATATGTTTATATTAACATTGTATAATCTGTATAACATTACATCATATTATGTTATAATTTATGATAGTAAAGTAATAATACGTAATAACACGTAATAATGTGTAAGTAGTTGTACATATCAACAGAAATATAAAATATATAAAAATATGAAGGTATGCACTTAGATAATACTGAGATTTGGTCGATTGGGAGTAAAAGAGCTTGAAAATTGAATACAAGGTCCTCAACATTTTTTCTCACCATAATTAAAAAATATCGAGAATATATACTCACAATATTTTTTTATTATTATAGTTATTTTAAATTGTCTAATATTATAAGTTTTTTGTCTATATATGTAAATATGTTAATAAAAATGCTGGAAAATGTAGAAGTGGATTCCTTATATTATGTTAAATTTAAAGTGAATTAAATAGCTTATAAAATATATAGGCAAACATTTTTATAAGTGTTTGAAGTTCAAATATTGATGAAACAGATTGTAAATACAAAAATGTACATATTATTATAATTTCGTATTAATAAGGTTTTTAATTTTGATAGGCAAGACTAATTTAAGTACATTTGATATAAGGTTCCTCCATAAGTTTTTTTTAATTAGACCTAAATATGTCAAAAATACATAAGGGTCATTTTTTATACACATTTCAAGTTTAAATTTTTCAGAAATTGGATATTTAAATGAAATATGATATAATTCAAAATGTATTTTTCGTAGAGATTTGAAAGTTGTAACAAAAAAACCGCTTAAAATATGTTGATTTTGTTTTTTTATTTTATTTTTATATATTAATATAGTTCATTAATTATATTTTTCAAAATATTATAATTCGGAAAATATAGATAGTAATAATGGAAATCTTAATGGACTTTTACGACAGAATATTGATACTATATTAGCTGCTTATTTTTATGAAGCATATTCTGTGTCGATATTTAAATAATTTTACAATTTTATTAAATTCTATATTAAGTCAAGTCAAGTCAAATATTATTTTTTTTCAAGTCGATAAAAGTACATTAAATTTTTCATTTATCTAAATAGGATTTAAGAAACTTGACCTTTGTTATAAATAAAAATTTCATCTCGTTGCATTGGCTGATGCAATATTTTAGAATTCTTAGATAATATTCAGAGTATATAAAGAACGACTGGACGCCGCAGTATTCATTCCTTTCTAAGACACCATACTAAATATACACATAACGATTTCCGCTTAACCAGCACAAACCAAATTCTTGAAACATGACGTCTTCAACTACATCACACATCCAATTCTCAAAACCATCCCAATACAAAGAATCCAAACCAAGGATCTATTCTTTTGTCCTTTTAATAACTTAAAAATTGACTTTTTTTTATTTAGTAATTTTATTAGTGTTCAATTGTTTTTAAAAACATTTTAATAGTTATAAATTGTAATAATTTCGTTTTAAATTTCAATATTAAATTGTAACTTACAGTTAATTTCAAAAGTACACAACCAGACGCCAAAATGGGACATTCAGCAATGCTACTGGGATTTACCTGGTTAGTTATGATCAATAGTATTGGATTCGCTGCGGTCTTGCCGATGAACCACATTATAGAGGTAATTAATTCATTAATAGTTATATTAAAAATACATATATGCGTATATTTAAAAACGTGTATGACTTATTATAATTATTGTTAATAAAAATTGTATACCTACTTACCTGTTTGTTATTAAACAAATATTTATATTTTATGTACCTACCTAATATTACTCTGAAGTGTTGTTAATATATTATAATATGTTCTTTAATCGCATATTTGTATTTATATATTTTATGCTAATATTTAGATAGTCTATTAAACAGGCGTATTAAATTAGTTAATTGATACATTTAACAATGATTGGGTGGGTATGTAAATTAGGAAAATCTGTTCAATAATCCACCTGAGTGGTAAACTAGGTAATACAAGAGTTGTCTTTTACTCGAAAATATAATACGTACGAATTGTTTCTACGATTTTATTATTTAAATTAAACATACAATTTACTAACTCATATAGAAGTTATATACTATATATAGTTTATATTATACTATTCAGACTCTATTTTGTATTACACTGTTCAATTTACAACCAATGTTCGAGTGACACTTATCTTAGTATAGAAGAAGGTAGTTGGTTCATCGTAATTACAAATTTAGTAAAATACACATTAACTTGTTTATGTTCTTATAATATGTTACACTACTTTCTATTTTATCATATATAATACATCATATTTATTAAATGTAGAATGTAAATTAATATTATACCTTCATGTATAGTGTATAGTATAAATTAATGTGCATTATATTATAATATATTTATTCAGTTAATTTAAAATATTTTAAAATAATATGTATATACATAAAACAAAGTTACCTAAAGTTAATAAATAATAATAATTTTTTAGTTTTTGATTGTCTGCATCATTCATAAATAGTTTAAAAGTATAATATAGAATGTAGTATGGGCTATAAATATATTAGGTTGCCTATGTTTATTTATAAGACTTTTCTTGTTCTATATGTAAATACGCAATAGATCTTAATGGGAAAAATTAAATTAAATATCATAAAATAAAATGTTTTTACTATATGGATAAATAGCAGTCATTGATTGGAATAAATTGGACCATAAATTACTAGAATTTTTCATTTTTACTTAACATGAAATTAGACCATACAATAGTAATATTTATCACTTAAATTAATTATTTGAAATTTTGTTTTTCCAGAACTCAATTTCAGATGAATCGACATTTAGAGGTCAGTTGATACATTTTCTTAATATATTTCAATATTTTTATTTTAATGCAATAACGCCGTTTTACATATTATTAAGTAATAGAATAGTTTCGATTTTTATTAATTGTATTTGTTTAATTAGCAGGTAGTGAAAAAAATACAGCAAAATATGAACTTAAAGATTGGGTAATGGTAAAAGCAACGCCTTCAGACCCTATTCGAGTTCCTCCAGGTGGCAGGGTTGAACTTGAATGTACGGTTTTCGGTAGCCCTGTGCCTCAAGCACAATGGAATCGTGGAATACAACTCAATCAGGTAAATAGATGGTTCAAAATGTACAATGTACCTACATATTATTATCTATTAAGAGTTTTAATTGTATGCTATAAATACTTTTCCAATAATAATTTATTTTACGTTATTATAATCAATGTGTAATATACTTATTATTTATAGATTACATTAGGTCCAAACGAATTTGAAGATTCTGGTGAATTTCAAAGTGTCGGTAAAGTTACAGTAAGACATGTAATTGACTGTATCCAACCACATCACCAAGGTGTTTATACGTGTAGTGGTCAAGCAAGAGATCAGACAATGGCAAGTGATCCAGTCGCAATTTCAATTGAAGGTATATTATTGTACTTATACATATTATGTTTTCAAAAAAGTAAAGCAAAATATTATTATATTAAATTATTATATAATTCAAGTTATTATACTTGTTCTATCTTCTACAATCGTATTTATCTAAAAATTGAAAAACATTTATATAATTAAACGTTTCTAAACATTTCATTAATTATTTAGGTACCTACTTAAATACAATTTTTTTTAATTACTCACCTATTATAATTATTATTCAGGTAGGCCAGTACAGTGTGCCAGTGGTAAAACTAGAATTGTAAAGTGGAGTCCAATCATAACGCAGATGATAGGCTCAACTGTAGTGATACCTTGCGTGGTAACAGACACTGCACCGTACAGACAATATTGGAAAGACAACTTTGGTAACATAATAGACACTGAAAACGATTCAAGGCGCAAAGTAAATAATTCCCCTAAATTGTTTTGTTGCACAATAGACTAATTACGGTATTTTATTTATTTTTCCAGTTGGGTCCCGAAGGAGAGCTAATTTTGAACAACTTAAGCTGGTCAGACATGGGTGAATATACTTGTGTTGCGGAAAATGCTATTAGCCGAGATAACACGTCTACGTTCCTGTATCCAATGCTACCTAATGTTTAGGCATTACACGTAGATACACCATAGGAAATCCTCTGTAATCTCTTAACAACATTTTCTCTTAATATTCAAATATTATAGTATTGTAATCTGAAATGATTTATTCAATTATATAACTTAATATAGGCGCTTATAGGATCATTATAATAGCTGGCCAATATTGAAACGACATTAAGTTATATCGATTAGTCCTAGAACCTTACTGCTTTAATAGTCGAATGCTTATACAATGTATCGTAGTCGTAAACCATTGAGTATTTATTGTTTATTTTATTATTTTTAAGTATAATATTGCTTGTCTGCATTGAGTCTCGTATTGTTTTATGGTTTGTGCAATGAATGTAGAGTGTTAAAAACTCAAACTTAAGTATTTTATTATTGTTTTTTTTTTTTTTTTTTTTTTTTTAATTTATTAATTTTTATTTATTTATACGTATGAATACATTATATATTTATATCAAAGTTCAATAAAGCTCGAAAATATTAATTATAAAAAGGATTTTTGGTTTTATGAAACAAATTATGTACCTATATGAGTGTAACTAAAAATTAAAATTGGATTAAAACATGCCAGATTAATACATACCTACATATACTAATATTTATATTATAATTTTCTAGACACGATATAATTTTCAAAATTTTTTGGCCTTTTTTGGGCTACCTATGTATAATATACATTTGAAATGTTCGACTTTTTCAGTGGTTTTACGATTTATGTATAATAAAATTACAAGATCTCTCTTAGTGTTCATATTTTGTTCTTATAGCAATTTAAAAACATTAGCATTTTTCATAGACATTTCAAGTTAATTAAGAAATAATATTATATTTATTACTATATAATCCACGTGATTGGCCAAAAATAGTTCGCTCATCCTACCGTATTACTAAAATAATATGATATATCAATTGTAATATAAATAAATAAAAATGATAGGTAAAGTTAGAAATAAACACTGACATACTGACTGTGCTCAGTTTCGTTTTTCGTATGCAATCTAATTTATCATTGAAATATTGAATTTCAATTGAATATTCATGACTCACATACATTATAGAGATTCTTACTATGTAAAAAACCGTCTTCTCTGGTTTTTAATTAATAATTGTGTTGTGCATAAGTCACCTACAAATTATAATGTAAATGTACCTATATTTTTGTATGTTGCTAGACCGTATATCAAATTTGACTATACTTAATAGTCAATATATAGAGAGATGAATTACGATGTATTGGTTATACATAAATAGTTTAATAAACAGAAAAAAAAAAGAAAAAAATCAGTCATGTAGATTAACATGGTTTAGTGTATAAGTGTCGAGTGTACCTCATCATTGAGTAGGTTACTGTAACGGATGTTTTAAATTTTAATTCAGTACTAAAACATAGAACATGTACGATGAAAATCATGAGTGAAGATGGTCTAACTTTTTGGTAACCAAGGTTACCTGTAAATTCTGAAGGTGTAGTGAAGAATTTTATAATGATGTGTGTTTTTTATTTTGTATCTAAAGACACTCAGAGACTCTCTAGCAGCGAAAATGTTCTAATAATAATTAATGTAGAGGGAGGTTTCTAGTAGAAAAGTAGGTATAGTAGCAATGCGTACTTTTAAAAAAAATTGGGGAAAAAAAACGAACATTTGTTAAATTGTATAATTGTTAATAACATACCTAATTGTTTAGTAAGTCACCAAAAAGTTAGACCATCATCATTGTTAAGAATAATTTTTCGTCGTAAACAATGATTTATCATTGAATTAAAATTAACACCTCCATCCATGATGGACACTCGACATCAATACTGTAGAGCGAAACGGTTACTTATTTGAACATTTTTTTTTATAGTTCCCGAGTATTTTGAAAAGTACTGGAAGTTGTTTACAATTTAAACAATTATAAAAAAAACCCATGTGCAATCTATTTTTGATATTTTTTAATTGGTGTATTAGAAAACCTCATATTATGAACCTTGTATTACAATTTCAAGCTTTTAGATTAAGAAAGAAAATTCAATCAACATAAATCAAATAAAAAGTTCTGTAAATAGGTATTCTTTAATAGAAAAAACTGAAACCTGAAATGTACGACCACACGGCGTTATGGTTAGGCTATTCCACTCCTCTATTAATGTTAATTTTTTCATTATATCTTGCCATCTTGGGTAAATACATCAATGTCGTACGATTTAAATGCAAGTATAAGGAAAGTGAAAATAATATATCCGTTAATAACGACTAAATATAGTTTAAGATGAATTAGAATGAAGTAAAATGGTAATTTAATTAAAAACTAATTGATAATCATTAATCAAGTTAATTAATAATTAATTTAAGTGTTTAGGTGCAATCATTATACGTTATTATGTCTTTGGCCTCCGTATTCCAAGGGTGCCAAGAGTGGAATAAATTATGTGATAAGAATATCAAGAATATGTTTAATAATTTAAAAAAAAAACAGTACAAAAGTTGAAAAGTTGAAAAGTCTGATCTCTGAAATCGAATTAAAATTTTTTTTCAAATCGATTTTACAACTACGATGGTTGTTTATAGCTTTGCGAACCTGTATTTTAACCAAAGGGAGACTGGGAGCAAAATTCACTTTTTTTTGTAAGTTAATATAATTATTATAATAAAATGTACTCGAATATCCATTCTTAAATTTTTATATTTTATATATGTTATGAACAGATTTGCTTTGAAAAATGAAGTATTAAATGCGTTGTGGGTGTATACAATTAATCGCAAAGGCTTTTCACAGTCAAAAGCAAGTCATATCTTATGTAGGTAGTAATCATTAAATGATTTTAATGATACACCATGTGGAACTGTGGAAGTTAAAACCTCTATTTAGCTTACATGCGTTCCCTCCAATTTTTCCTGATGAACTGCCATACAAGAATAAAAAGCCTGATACAAAAGAAGGCTATATATTTGTACAAAATGTTGAAAGCAGGGCCTGAAATTAAGATATTTTGCTACTGACCTAACCTACTGCACAGCTACTTCCAAATATTTTAACTTCATTTCATAATTGTTTTTGCTGTTCATTAATAATTAGTTATAATAAATACAATCTAAGACAATCTTCTATAAAACTCCTTGATACCTACCTACATGGCTATATGGCTATATGACTTAACATTTTAAAATTAAAAACGAAATAGCTTGGGTTAATATCAGGGTTGGCACTGCTTTTCTGGATAAAATAGAAATTCACTCTTAATTTTTTTTAACTTGAGTTAATATTCAGAAAAAAATACACACCAACAGTCAATAGAAATGTTAACAATCTTTTTTAATAAGGTATTAAATACGTAACATTCCTGTAAATACTTAATGAATAATTTAAACAAAAATTAACAAATACTTGGTAATAAAATAGGGGAAAAATCAAAAAACAGTGCAAATATCCAAAGAAATTACTAAATTATACATCATATTTTATACCTAATTAATGACTACTATAGATCGAAAATATTGCAAATGTAAAGTATAATTACAGGCTTCAATTTACTATGCCAACTCGATTAAAAAAAAATTATTATGATTCAATATTTTTGTAAATACTAACATCAATTATATAAAAAAAAATAGAATTTTAATTCTTAAGTTTTGCATTTAACAGTATGAACCATAGATATATAAAAATACTAGATAGACGACTCCCTATTCCTACAATCACGATGTAGGTAAAACCTATTTTTACCTACATCATGCCTACAATGTAATAATTATGAAGTAGACAAAATGGCGGAAACACTCTTATCTAAGAGGTGAATATTTACAAAATATAAATTATGATAAACTGTGATAATTTTATTTAGGGAATCCAAAACTATTAAATATGTATTACAAATTACAATATCATTATACACTTACTAGTTAGTAGTTACAACACTGACTAAGATATACTTATATTTTTAAACTTAACTTACTTCCATAAGTCTTAAATACATATTATTAACTTTTAGCTTATTCAACAATTAGATATGTAAATTATGTAATGGTTCATGTGAATATTACATTATTTTATAAAAATTTGTTCAATTGTAAAATATTTTTAAAAACAATCTGAATTAAATAATTAAAAATTTTACATCCATTTATTATTTTTGAAATACTATATTTAAAATCAATAAAACAAAACTGGTATACTACCTTATTTAATAATAATACAATTAAAAAAAAAAAACAAAATAAAACTGGTACCTATCTACTAGTACTATACCTAGTATAATAATAATAACAAAATATTTAAAATGAATAAAATAAAACTGGTAAGCTACCTAATTTAATAATAATATCATAAATGTTTAAAACAAAAAAAACAAAACTGGTATACAACCTAGCATAATAATAATATTAAAATATTTCAAATTAATAAAACCGGGTTACTACCTTGTATAATAATAATCATAAAATATTTAAAATCAAGAAAACAAAACTTGTATCAATAGTAGTACTACATAGTATAATAATAACTAATAAGTATAAAATATTTCAAGTAAATATAACAAAACTAGTATATTAATTAATTTAATAATAATAGAAATATTTAAAATAAAACTGGTATCTATAGTCTATACTACATATAATATTTTATACCTACTACTGGTTTATAAAAATTATTTGTTTAGTTAATTTTTGTCTTTTACTAACAGGATTTAAAATTTCTGTTGAAAACATTTTGCCAAAATAATGAAGTCTCGAATTTTTAGATATTTTTTAACCAATAATGAAATTAATACCATCTTATGGGGTCTATCTAGCAAAGGAGCATTATCACATTGAAGTGTATTAAAAATATTATTATCGAATGCAAATTTATTATTACATAGGTTTGTTATTTTTAAATCAAGATTTTTAGATTCTGAGCGGAGCGATGAATGTATTGGTTTTACAATGATGTGTGTTTTTTTTTATATTTTTATATTTTTTTTGTGTCTGTCATCACGTTTTAGGACAGTAAAAGTGCTTGGATTTTCTTCATCAGTAGCTCTTCTGATAGGAAAGTGAATCTAGTTGGTACTTTGGGGGGTCAAAAGTATAAATTTCCCAGTAATTTTCACAAGCGAAGGGAAAAACAACATAAAAATTAAGGAAAAACGGGAATTTTTACGCAAAATTGGTTTTCCAAAAAATTGATTTTGGTTATTGGTGTAACTTTAAAACAAATGAACGTATATACAATATACATGAAATTTTCACTGGTTGTTTATATTTACATTTTCTATACACGATAATATTTTCAAAATATTTTGATTTATTTTGAACTGTTTAGTTACATTTTCATTTTCCATTTTTTTTTAGTTTTTTTTCTAAAAATATCAATAAAATTCTATTTGTTGGTTGCAAAAGCTTGAAAATTTAATAGAAGGCTCCTAATATATTGTTTCAAAGGCAGATGAAAAATATTAAAAATCCTTAGTCACAGTTTTTTTTTTATAAGCATTTAAAGTTCAAAAATTGACAAAATATGGAAAAATCACGAAAATTAGAGAATTATTTTGAGTTAAGAATTCGTAAAAATTTTTCTTTTTATATCTAAGATTTGAAAATGTAATACAAGATTACTCATAAGTTTGTCTACCTTTATCAATAAAAAAATCTCTACCGGACAGTGAAATTAAATTTTTATGAGCGTTTGAAATTCAAATTTTTACAACATTGGATATTCACTCGATTACTCATGTAGCGATTTCCTTATTTTGTTGCAATTCAAAAACGAACAACTATAGATACATGAAAATTTCACTGAATGTTTAAATTAGCATTTGCTATACACCATACAATTTTGAAAATATTTTGACTCTTTTTGAGCTGTTTATGGACATTTACAGCTTTCAATTTTTTTTAGTTTTTTTTTCTATAAATATCAATAAAGTTTTATCTGTTGGGCCAAAAAGTGTAAAAATTTAATACAAGGCTCCTGATATATTGTTACAATAGCAGTTGAAAAATATTAAAAATACATAGTCACAGTTTTATTTTATAAGCATTTAAAGATCAAATTTTGACAAAATTTATCAAAATCTCGAAAATTATCAATCATTGTAATTAATAAATTATAAAATGTTCAGTTTTTATAGCTAAGGAGTACAAATTCAACACAAAGGTTCTCATAAATAGCTCATCCTATAACCAAAAAATCTAAAAAATATATGAACACTTATTTTTTACAGACATTTTAAATTCAAATTTGGACGAAATTACATATTAAAAAACCTAGAATAACTATTTTAGTTATTTTGTTGTGATTAAATAATATTATTCGTGGGTACTTGAAACTTCTAAAGTGTACTATTATATATCTATGATAGTATCACGGTTTTTGGTGATGTATAACGCGTTACCAGTACCTAATGGATATTGTGATATGATTAATTTGGAATTTATTATAGGTACCTATTACTATTATAGGTCAATTTTTTGTTTAATACTATATACATGTAGGTATATAATATGTCTTATACATAAACTGACATACCGTCTCCTCTCAGAATCGTTTTTCTTATACAGTGATATTATATCGTTGAATTCAAATTTAATATCATCCATTATACAGTGACCCACTTGTAACCTACTGTACAGCAGAGCGACACCCACTTGCCCACCTTTTTATATTTAATGTTTGTATTTGATTTCGATGTGTGGCTTTACGCCTTTACATACTCCTATACACAACAATGTTTTACCCTAAACTATAAATTAATTGATCAAAATCATTCTAAACAAAACTAAATCATATTCTACTAAAATAATTTACCATGAGTTTAAGGATTGAACTTTTGGTCAAAACTTATGAGCTGCATATTGTATTATACCATATGTTTAGAGTTAATACAAGTAAATTCCATCCTTTGTATGGTTATAAATACAAGATCATAAAATAATTGTAATTTAACTGTACCATTTAATGGCATTTATTTTGGAATTCAACGTCCAATAATTAGAAGAGGCTTGTTATTACATAAATATAATATCAATTTGACCAACTTTTGTAATTTCACCAAGTATAAGATATATATTAATAATATTTTCTTTTATATTTAATATTAAATTAAATCTTTTTTGTTTTACTTTATTATGTTGTAATATGACATAACATAAAGTTATATTTATTTTCATTTTAGTTCATTTTCAATATGAACTCAAATCATTAGAATTCTAGCATGTGCTTATTGGATGAGCTTGAAACTTATTTATTATATTTATATTGTATTTCTCGTTTGTTGCAATAAATTATACTTTTAATCTTAATTTTAAGTCAAGGACTAATAAATACTATAAAATTAAAAATATAAGTATATCTTAGTCCGTGTTGTAACTAGTAAGTGTTTAATGATATTGCATTTGTAATACATATTTAATAATTTTGGTTTCCCGCCATAAAATTATCACAATTTATCATAATTTATATTTTGTAAACATTCACCTCTTAGATAAGAGTATTTCGGCCATTTTGTCGGCTTCATAATTATTACATTGTATTTTTTTTTATCTAGTATTTTTATGTATATGTGGATATATCTTAATTCGTGGTATCCACAGAACAAATCGTAGACCGTAGTATCCTAGTATCATAGAGTAATAGCCAGGGTTACTGTCGACGAGGCCGTGCATACATGGATTTGAATAATTAAAAAAAATATTAAATAAACCCATGGGGGGGTTTCAACACCTAAAACCCCCCCTGGCTACGCCACTGATTATACATTAATACATTTATACAATATACTTTAACTTTTATTCCCATAAAATAACGGCAGTACGGCTTATATTATAATATATATTTAAAAATTTAATCTCAATTACGGACTAAGAAGTAAGAATTAAGATATGATATTATGATTTATGATGTCATAATGGACTGAAAACGACGACTTGGTGCCTGGTGGTCACCGGCCCCGGCCGGCTGGTGACGGGGTACGGTCAATCGGTCAATGTTATACATAATTTGTTTCACTGAAAATAGTCACACTGTAAAAGGAGGCATTGGTCGCCTCAATAATTATCGATACGGCGCCTCTATGATACTCTATGCCTAGTATCCATGACAAGCTAGACACCTTATCAATACACCTTGTTCCTTGATTGTTTCCATGAACTAGATATAATACTAGATTTGAATCTAGATTATCATTGAACTCATGAAGAATAGAGATAGATATGTCTATAAAAAAATAGTCTTCATGATTGAACTATATAATAAGTAATAATATTATTATATAGTTCAATGGATATAATACTCATAAGTCATAATTGAATATTTCAATGCTGTTCTGTGCTACTACGGACTAAACGGACAAGTGCTTATCACTCCCGTGAATCATATTATATTATCACAGAACGATAATTATTAGACCCTAACATAGATAAAAGATTAGTGCAATACATCTGCGTTTGGCAGCGCCCGGCTCCCCGACAGCTGCACAAAAAAACAGATATCTTATATTATACGAAATTGTTGTAACTATTAAACTATATAATAATGTAATGTTGTATATATCTGTGCCCGGCAGTCATAATAACTATATAGTGTATGGCTACATTGATGGTGGATTCTTGAACGAATTTATTCGTCATCGTTATTCGTTATTAGTTATTCGTTAATTTTAATCATGAACAAAAATAAGTTCTAGATTTTAATCTTTATTGTTATTAATTCTGATCAATATTTAACGTATCGAAGTATCTCAAGTATCAACTCATGATAGTTATATCATGTATCAACTGAAAACTTCACCTCCGAAATTCGGAAATTCACATGATATGCCTAGTCCGAAATTGTGAATCTAATTTTTGTTGAAACTTATTAATGTACAAAATACGTTTTACATAATATCATAAACTTTGTTTGATAATAATATAAATAGGTTGTATGATATTTAGATTTTCATATATCTTATAATGGATTCGGCATTTCTGGTTTTCAACTCTGATAACGAGGTAAATGTACAGTATGTACTTAAATTTTTTGTCACAATTAATATAAACCGTAAAATATACATTAGTGTAGCTTAGTAAATGTTTAAAATATTGCCTGTTGTTTTAGTATTAAATAATTTTGTGTTTAGTCCATTTCAGATGTATTGGATTTGGAGACAGAGGATTTCAACGATGTTGAAGAAAAGCCGACTACCACTGTTAACCATAAAGGAGGATCGGTTTGGCGAGATATTGTTGTCGGAGAACAGATGGAGGGATGCCTAACCCGTCTTGAAGTAACCCCTAAGACAGCTGCTTACACTGATATGGATGATCCAAACTATGAGCCCAAGTATGATTATGTTCATTTATTTATTAATTATTATGTCATGTTTAAGAAGATTTTAGAATTTAAAAAAGTGAACAAAAAATATAATTCTATTTTATGAATTATACAGAACCATTCATTTTTATGGGTACTAATTTTAATTTTAATTGTGAATCCCACAGCAATGTAATACCATGTTCATGACATAAGTCACTGACTAATACCCAACTCAATTAATATAATACTTAAGTATCTATAGTTTTTATTTAATTTTTTTTCAACATTTCTATTTTAAAAAAATTCTAAATTTTAAATAATGTGTTCAAAATTCTAAATATTTTTAAAAACATTTATTAAATTTGTCTAGGTACTAATTAGATTCTATTAAACATATTTATTTCAATAATACCATAACACTTTTTGAGAAATATGAATTAGGTGTTATTAATTACAAACTTGATTATATCACACAATTCTATGTCAGAAACATTATACATTGTACAATAACAAATAATAGTCTCAGACACCTTATACATATTATTTTAATAATAATTAATATTTAGTTTAAAAAAAAATTTATTTATTTCAGGGGCGATGGACCAAAACGGAAACGTGTTTTTTCATCAAATAAGTCAAATAAAAAAACTAATATACCAGAAAAGTAAGTAATTATTATTTATGAAATTATCATATCCAAATCATAAAAATAATGATATTAATATATTGTTTTATTTCAGTAGAGAATATGATTTGGAGTCAGATCATGTTGTAAAAAAAAGATATTCACATGGAAATGATTTTAAGAAATGTCATTATAAATATGGAAATACAAAAGGATTTGAGGAAAAAAGAACTGATAATGACAATACATCAAAGGCTAGAATATTGCTTGATATTTGTGAATCTGAAGAAAAGACTATTGATCAGTTTTTGGATGAGTTGTGCACAAATCTTTATGAACACAATAAGATTTTAATGTGTAAGTTAGGTTGAAGGTTAAATATATTTAGATTTAATATTTTCAGGTCTATTATCTTCCTATTAGACTAGCTTAGTTAATTTAAAACTCAAACTCAAAGTACTTAACTAAATCAAATTTTAATAAATTCTAATAATATTTTTAAATTACACATTTTGTGATAAATATAGAATTTTGAAAGTTTGATGTTTTCTTTTAGGCTGATATTTTCTAATTATGCATGTTATATCATAAATACCATAAACTTATAACCACATTTTTAAAACCTCTTAGGAGTTGGGGGCTACAACAAAGTATCAACCCTGAGCCCAATCAATCAAACAAATATAGTTATGTTCTTATTTTAATATTTTAATATTGATCACATAGACGTACGAATAACTTTATAATATTAGTCATTGTTAAAAAATAATATCACCATTGATTAATTAGGTATACAGTATTATATTATGTAAATTTAAAATAAAATACTAAAATTATATCTTATTTTAGTAATAGGATAATTTAATATTATGAACATGTTAATTTTACTTTAATAATATTGCACAAAATAAACATTTCAAAAATATATATACTTGTTTTTATAAGAGTAATGTTACTAACATTGCATTATTATTTAATATTTTCAATAAAATAGTTTAATTTAGATTTTAAAATTTTAATTAAAAAAAAAAAATATTAATAACATTGACATTTTACATTTAAAGTCCAAAAACTCGTTGGGCCGATACCTTATCTATCCGGCGCTACCCTCCCCTTCTAAATCTGAGCCTATTACTACTCAAATTAAAGGTTAACAGCAAATATAATTAAGCTATAACTATAATATATTACTGTGGTAAAAAACACATGGTAATATAAAATATATTATATCATACTTTGGGTTTAATGATACAAAAAATGAATTATGATAATATTATGGTAAATAGTAATCCATACTGAGGTTGTTAGCCCAATATTTGTTTTCTCTCTCGGGCCCATGCTCACCTTAGATAAAATGCTTTCACCTAAAATTATTTTTTTTTTTTTTATGATTTTTGATAAAAATCTATTACAAATTAGTAATTATTATTATCAACTATTACAAAAATGATAGAATATAATATTTTTGGGGTGTGACCAATTTTATATTTTATTGTTATTTGACTTTGTATATTATATTAATATTTAGACAAATCAATTTGTCATACCTCAAAAATATTATTGTCTATCGATTTTTTAATGGGTGATTTTACTCTAAGGTTACTTAAAAACATCAAAAATAATGATTCTGCATAAATACATTTTATCTATGTTGCGCGTAAGCCAGAGAGAAAACATATAGTGTGCTGACATCTTCTTAACAACATTTTATATGCAATATATTATAGAAATTCGCTAGACTAAACCGGTTTAAAATTATCCCATATTATCCCGCACCGGGATAATGAACCATGTAAATGATATGGTCCAAACATCCCGGTGCATTTTTTTTCACACCGGTTTAGTCTAGCGAATTTCTATATAGTATACATTTGATAAATATATATATATTACAATAAGAAATATTTATAATTTTCTTTTTGTAGTATCTGTGATATCCAAAATTGACAGGAAAATCATTCTTGAAAAATATAAGAAAACTTGTTTAATAGAAGCTAATGGTGGCCAAATGATAAAGGTTAGACAATCATTCAATTATTATATTTGACTTATTAGTTATTTGATGTTAAGAATCGTAGTTTAGCTATTATAGTTTTGTTTTAGAATGGTAACCGTAGACGAACATCTGGAGGAATATTTTTTAATTTAATTAAAGAAGATAAATCAATTCCAAATTCAGCAAAAAAAGATCTATTTAGCTGTCCTCAGAACGAAGAGATGAAAAAGAAAAAGAAACGTGAAAAAATGAAACGTAAAAAAGAAAAATTAAGGAAATTGATTGATCAGGATAATAACAAAGGTAATTGCCTAAACAGTTCTTACTAAACATATTATATGTGTTTATAACACCTAACTGTGCCCTTTCTTCTTAATATAAATTTAATATAAATACTTATTTTGGTAAGGGACAAACTTATTAAAAAGTAATACACTTGATATTAAAAATATTTTAATTTTAAATGCACAATAAATAAAAAAAATCATGATTCCCTATTCCAAAATATGCAAAATAAGACAAAAATCTTGAAATATAAATTTTTTTTTTTTTCATTGATCTTTAAAGCCCGGCGACTATGGCCATTAGCTGATTGTAGGGTTTTATGAGGTAGTAGGGTTTGTAATGGTAGGGTTTTTGCACGTGTGTGTTGTGTTTGGCAGAATTTTTGATTGGGCACCCGTAGGTATCTGCCATGCCCAGGTGGGGGATGGCGGCACTTGTTCTCTGGACACCATGACTTACCTAACCCAGGTCGGCCACTCCGTCCCCCAAATATTAATTTATATACAAAATAAAATGGCATATTATATTGAATTCTGTCACATTGATAATAGTGTCTATGATGTCACCTATTATACCATTTTATGCAACTTGTGGAAGATTTATTTACAAATTTACAAAATTACTACTTACAAGAGCCATGGTTATAACTTATAATGTATAAAATAAAATGAATTTACTATGATTATAAACATTTTATTTGTTTAATTTTTGTAGATATGGAATAGTTAATTTATAATTTGTTGTTGATAACATTTCTAGTTTAACTAATTTAAGTAATACATAAAAACTTAATTATGTTTTTAGTGGATATTTTGAAAACATTAAATGAAGAACTAGAAACAATATCATCAAATTGTACTATTGAAAATGAAGAGTTATCAGATTAATTTTTTATAGATATGATTCCTAAAATGAAAAATAATTTGTTTTCTTATGAACATAATAATATGTGAACTATTAATTTTTTTCAAAAATTAAAAGTTGAAAAAAAGATCTATTCCTTGTACTAAATTTACTTAGTTTAATAAATAACATTATATACATTTATTAACTGTAGTAGAATTTTTAGAATGATTATGTTGGCTAAATATATAAGTTTCTGAGGATTTAAACATGTTGTGAACAAAAATATAAAATTTATAATTTATTGTATTAAAATCATCAAGATAGATAAGAATATGGGAGTAAGTACCCCCCTATGTCCGCAACGTTAAAACTATATTAAGTAATGTGAACCAAGTGCAGTAAAATATTCTAATTTTATGTTTATAAACTGATTTAAAAATAATATGCTAGGTAGTAGACAAGACATTCAGTTTTATTTTCAAATAGTTCTAAGAATATAATAAAATGGTTTTCATAATATAGTAATCTTATTTGTTATTTGTAATGTAATATAATTTTGTTGTTTATTTTTTTGAACATTATATTTTATTTTGGTTTAAAGCTTACATATAAATCATAATATAAAATTGCAAAAGATCTAAAAATATTGAATATGAAAATAGTAAATACAGTAATTTTTTTATTATTTTTGGTATTGATAAAAAAAACAAAATAAATTTTCCTTAAAAAACTACGAAAACGTGTATATTTTATAAAAATACAATTGTTATTACAACAGCCAACAGGTAAGTATTCACTCAAAAATAATAAATTATTCACCTTTATAAACAACAATATTCTTATCAGTTTCAAATAATTTAACTTTATACAACAAATTAGGATTATGCATAACATCTTTCAAACTTTTCCATATAAAAATCGCTACATTCTCAGTTGTACTGACATGATGTTTAAAGTAAGGTACATCCATATCCAGATTCTTATGATCCAATGGCTCCATTACAGCAACGTTAATATACTTTTTTAGGTCCGACACGTTCATAACCATGCCAGTGTTCTCATCGATTAGACCTTTAACTGTGACTTCAACTGTAAGTATAACCATGGGTAATAAATACAAATTTCATAACTAATATTAATTAATAATAAATACAATACGGTTATGTTTAGTAAAATATATAGATTGTTATAATATAGTAGGTATAGTGGTAGGTACATAAACTCAGTCTTCGGTAGTATTCCGAATACTTTTAAAATACTTTTTCCAACAATATTCTGAATAACAATTAAGAATATTTTTTAAAAGTATTTTATTCCTATAAAAAAGTACTTCGTAAATTGTTTTCTCGTTTTTCTGGACATTTTTAGAATATTGCATATTTTAAAATTTTAAATTAAGTACCTATCAACAACTTAGATTATATTATATTTTTAGTTTTTAAATTATATAAATGTTGGAAAATTTTCCCAAAAAAAGTAATATAGGTTTAATATTTAAAACAAAAATTAAAGAGTATTTTAAAAGTATTGGGAATGCTTTTGAAGTATTTTACCCAAGTCTGCATAAACTACACCTGACTAATCACTAATGTACCTTCACAAAATATTTTTAATATTTAAAATTTGTATTGTAATAAATAATTATTTTTAAAACTCAAGAGAATAATTGATGTAGTAAAAATAACATTTTAAATACCTTTATAATTATGTCCGTGCCCATTTTTATTGTTACATTTACCAAAAATTTTTATATTTTCTTCATCACTTAAATTGTTGCTATAATATAAATAATAATTTTTTTAAATTAATTTCTTAGTTTTCACTATTGGATACATCTAACAAATACAAACATATTTTTCTACATTATTTTGTTTAGGGTACCTACATAAATAAGTATATAGGTAGGTGCTTGATCTTAATATCTAATATTGCCTATTGCCTTTGGGTATGATTAAAAAAAAATTATCCAACATTAAAATATTAAATATAATACAGGACATAAAAATATAAAATATCTATTTTTAGTGTTGCTATTATAATAATTAGTTAATATTATAAATTATAAATATTTATAATACTCATTAGAGTAATAAATAATAATTGATTTAATCTGTATAAAAGTAATTTTCTAGCATTAATACATTAAAAGGGAAATAGGTAGGTAACTGTAATTGTATAAGATTAATAAATTATACATTATTATACAATAATATTATGATTACCCACCTGTGGAGCCGATGACATGAGCTAAACTTCTCAACGCGAGTTATGTTCGCCAAAGGCATTGTTTTAGAATGTCTGTTGATTAGGTAGGTACCTTATTGCAGAGTTCACACCAGTCAGCAAGAAGTAGTCAGTACTGACTAGTAACTACTGAACACTGAACAGTCAGTGGTCTGTTGGCAATGTCCAGTTTACAGTTATCGCCACGCCTCGCTGTCTTGACGAAATCGGAAATTTAATATTTAGGTATCAAGAATCGATAGGAAGTAATTCAACGAAGCAACACTGCCATCTAGTTGATCAGTCGATGTCACATATTGTACATCAATGAGGGGAATATGGGATCTTACATAATCTTAGACCTCTATATTATATTTTATAGTTTAAACTTAGTTTATACGTCGTACACAATATAACTAGGTAAATTAAATATCCTAAATTTAAATTAAAAAAACAAGTTAACAGTTGAAGTAAAAACCCCATTCGGTAACTATCTAAACAATAATATCCTCTCCTGGGCCTGGCGAATATTTAAGCGGCTTGATTACAATTTGGGCCGATAACTTATAAATATTTTACTATTACTTATCAGCTCAAAATTAGGCTGAATTTTCTGTTTCCCTGGGGGCCAATTTGTATTCCCAGCACGCCCCTGAGATAACCTACCTATAGTTAACCACCTCAACCTTTATGTGGTTATGTTTCTGAATAATATGGATTATGGATAATAATATTTTACTTATTTTAAAGCAAGTAAATATCTCTAATTACCAGCTATTTGTGAAGACATATGACGTTTTTACCTTTTTAGATTTCCTATATAAAGTTATCATTAAAAAATGTACTTATAAATTAATTATATTAGGTTGGTACTAATTATTATTAAAGAAACTAATTACTTAATAACGGTAGCCGGTAGGTACTAAGTACTTAAGTCGTAAATATATTAATAAATAACAATTAATTATTTTATGAAAAAAATGTACCTATGTAGCAATCAATAATAATGTCAGTACTTAGTAAGTTATCAGTCGGGTAAGTACATACATAGTCGGAAATCCATTAAAATGTCAGGGGGGCAAAAATAATTAACATCAATGTGAGAGGGAGAGGGTTTCGAGCCTACAAAACTAAAAAGGAGGAGGCTTAACGGACTGTTTGGGGAGGGGCTAAGCCCCCTCAAGCCTCCCCCCGATTTCCGCCAATGAGTACCTACCTACCGAGTAAATATTTAAGTTTATAGAGTGCCGCCAATTTCAACACAATAATCACGACTTACAAGACACAAATAGCTAGTTATAAATTATAATAGATAGAAATTCCGAATTATATAGATACCTGGGTAGGTAGTAGGTACCTACCTATATATTATAACCATCGATGTAGCCACATTGGTAATTTTTACTTTTTCGGTATTCAAAATCCACACAGCATTTACCTAAGCATTAAAATGAAAAAAATATATAATAGGTTCCTAATAAAATTCCTATATTTTTAAGAAGTATATTACAGTATATACAGGGTGTCCCGTGAGGATTTACCTATTAGCCGTAGAGGGGGACTCGCCGCCCGGACAAAAACCGGTTTTTTGACGTTTTACTTATTAATTAAAAAAATTATTAAAAATCAGGAAATTAATGAAATTAAAATGTTGAAACGTCAATATTTTCAGAAAAATGAACTCTACAAAATGGCAATCTTCAATATTTTTTTAAATTATTAATTAAAAAAATATTTTTTTTAACTTTTTTACCAAAACATAAAAAAAAAATAAAAAAATAGTTATTTGTAGTGCTTACCTCTGTGAGTCTTAATAAGAAAACAGAATTACGATATCTCTATTATTTCAGGAGATATCGCAATGAGTAAATCCTCACGGGACACCCTGTATACTTAAGCCATATATTGCATACATAAATATATTATACTTTAATATATTAGGTATATAGTATATAATATTACTTAATGATATTTATGACTATTCAAATAGGTAGGTTGTAGATACGTCAAATTTGTACAAAAATCAATACAATATTATAATTACTAATGATTACTTATATTGTTACAATTATTATTATTAACTGAGTAATATACCATGAACTTTGTAAAAATGAGTTCAACATAGGATAAAAAAAAATTAATTGCCATTAGTAATGTAGGTATATAAATTAAAAAATATCCTTTGAAATGTCTTCAGACGCCGAATCGTTTTTGTGTAAATTGTCGTGTTGACTATATCCTGTTTTTTTTCTCTATCAGTCAGTTTAATTCTCAATATTCATTCAGACATTTTTGGGATAATACCTACCTAAATACTGCGTATGTATATATAATCGAAGTATTTAGTAGTAATTAGTAAGTAGTACCCACTGATTTTTGTACATATAGGAATCGGGAATCCTGATGTACTTAGTCTACACGATTATTAACTGTACTAGGTACTGTAGTGTGTCTGTAATATAGACGAGTAGACGACTCTGTACCTATGTATATTTTTATAATGACGTTCAAGGGACCAAGGAAAGTTGGTAGTAACAACCGATAGTCATAACTACCTATAAAATTGTACGTACCTATAAATCTTACCTATGCATTTCTCGGGTCCTTTACTTTAAGGTCATAAAACCCGATATATGTCATTATACAACCGCGGTGTCATTATATAAATGATTTCTACTGTATATATTATTACTTATATTAAAAATTAGGTACATACAATAAAATATTGAAATTCCTTAGGGTTTTTAAAATCAAAGAAAAATCGAATGCCTGTCTGGATTATTTTAAAATTACGCAATAGCGTCGAATTATGGTAATGTATACGCGTGTCATGTTCTAGAATATCACGTTTATATGGTTTCGAAAAAATATAATATAATATCAATATGTGTAAGAACTAGGAGTGTTGAACGTTACCTTTATACTTTATATTAGGTATATTACTATATTACCCATGTCCTATACATTCGTATTTTGTAGGTGCCTCATATGTTTAAGTGAAAACAAAATGCTGAAAGTGTTAAATGACAAATTAAAGATTATTTTGTTATTGCGCCCAAACCAATACTACCTAGTTTGGTTTAATATAACAAGCACTATATTTTTTATTTGTATTCCTTGGGTCATATTTCATTATTTGAATAATTCTTTTTTTAAGTTATATAGGTAACTAAATTCTAATTAAATAACTATTTTTATTTATCACAACTCGCATACCTTAGGTAGGATTGTATGAATCCATTAGAATATCAAGAGGAGGCCGGCCGACGGCGTGGCGGATACTATTTCTAACACCAATGTTGTGCAACCTAACAAATTATATTTAAAATAGTATATTACTCCAAAAAAAATCACATGCCCTCTCGATCTTCTATCCTATGCAGGGTTGTCATGAATTTAAAACATTTGTTTTAAACGTTTTATTCACTATTTAAAACGAATAATTATATGTTTAAAACAGTGCAAAATCCAAGTGAATATTGTGTTTTTTTTTTTGTTCCTTTAGAAAATAAGTTAAAGTATTAAATCATTATATCTATTACCATCCTTGATTTAAATTTTATTGAATTAATTATCAAATTTAAAATATGTTCGTACTTAATAATTAATATATTATCCATTATAATATAATGTCCACATAAAACATTCATTCGGAAAATATTTAAAATAAGTAATAACTAAACAGTGATACATAATATTATAGTTATATTAATATACCTACTAGTACTTAGTACCTACACTGCATTTTGGCATAAGTATCACTCGGATATCAAAATGTCAAAACAAATAAATCACAATATACAATGCAATTACATTTTATTTCAATATATTATACATAATAATAATATCTATTCAAATACAGTATGCAGTACCATTAAATAAAACAACAACGAAAACAAAATATAAATAAATAATTTAAATAGAAGGAATAGCAATAATAGTAACAACAATTCGTGTAAGAATTTCGTATTCAAACATTTATCTAATACACAATCGTCATATGGTTATTCAACATTAAAACTGAATTGTATTGGTTTTGGACTAGACTTATAATTAATGTTATACAATTATGACCATTTGCAGGTGTCTACACTTGTTCTTTATGTACATTATTATTTACACATTGTTTTTTACATTTCATACGTGCGTGTTTATATTGTAATATACATATTTACATCAATATCCGTCGCATTAGAACTGGAAAAAATAGGTTTCATTTTATACATAAACGCATTTAACTCTGTGGCAGAAGACACGCACGAATATATATTGTGTATACACTGTTGGTGCATAATAATATATTACATATTACATATCTATCGACCATTTCCAAGGTAAAAATTAGACGTTAGGTTTTATGTTACACAGTTGTACACACTCAGGCATTTGCAAATTGCAATACAGCTACTGCAGGTGCGGTATGACTTTGAATCGAAAAGTATATTATACGTCCCGTGGCGCGCATAATAACTGCCCCCCGACCACCGCCCTCATCTACATCCGCATTCTTCCACGGCCATTTCCTGGTAGTTCTTCACCACCAACCTGCCGTCGTCGTCCAAGTAGAGCAGCGTCAGCGAACTGAGCTTGGTCGGTACGCAGCACGCCCGGGGAACTGACGCTGGGTTGTACGAGTTCATCAGCGTCTGCATGACCGCGTGGTTGGACGCGTTGATGTGATTGGCCAACGGGAACGCACACTCCCCGTGGCAGTAGAAAGCGTCGTAACCCGCCGGCGCCTGGATCCAATCGCTGAACCCGACATCCTTGAAGTCCACGTACAACGGATACCGCTGACAGATCGTCTTCTTTTTCGATTTCTTCGGTGGCCCTCCCGGTTCGTCGGCCGACCGTTTGCTCCGCCGCATCATCCGTTCTAGCGTGCTCTTCTCGCCTGAACAACAATTAAAATATGCAATATTATTATTAGCTGATTCATCATAATATGATTTATTATAATAACTAATAAGTAATAATATAACAATTAACATTGTGTAACGTAACAATGTATTTTTTTTTTTTTTTATTAGTTATCCCGAGGCAACTTAGGCCATTGGGAGGGGGGTTGGTACTGTAGGTTTTTAACGGTAGGTGAGTGTTACACGTGCGTGTGTATTTTTGGCAGAATTTCGAATGGGGCACCCGTAGGTTTCTGCCATGTCCCGGAGTGGGGATGGCGGCACTGGTTCTCCGGACACCGTGACTTGCCCGGAGAAAAATCAAAACGAAACGTAACAATATACATTTTTACGGGGGACGAGGTGGTCGAGAATCGAACCCGCGACTGCCAGCGCCGCAGCCGACGCGTAAGACCGTTCGGCCAGCTCGTCTCCCGTATAAATGTATTGTTACGTTTCGTATTGATGTCTATATAGGTAATATTGTATTCGATTCAGTCGGAACCAACTTGTTATTAAAATATATATACAATATACTGCAGGGGCCAGTGGCGTATTTATAAATGTTTCTTTGATATTGGCGGAACGGTGAGGCTTCAAAAAAATATAAATTAGTTAAAATTACCTACTCCTATTCACAATTATTTAACGACAAAATAGTTATAATGGTAAAAATGGAATGAATTATAGTCAGGACCGGCTCAAGCGAAAATAGTGAACTAGGCAAAATACAATTTTGCAGCCACTAACAATATAATATTATCAGTATTTTGAAAAGGCAGACCTCATTAGTAAAAGTGCTGCTTAAGTGCCGTCCTAGGCGTGGGCCCATGTCGCCTAGGCTGTATGTAAACTGCGGCAAAATTAACCTTTTTCTAAAAGTTGATATGTAAACTGCGGCAAAAAAAAATTTTACATTATACAAACTGCGACAAAACCGATAAGATACATTATACAAACTGCGGCAATTTGTTTTATATACCTTCTATATACCTATATTATATTAATATATTATAGTACCTAAATCATATATACCTACCTATGTGCAGTGGCGTGGTGAACATTTATAAACCTTGATGCCCAGCATATATTTCAGTACCTACCCCTTCTTTATCCCCTTAATATAATATATAATATATATAATTATTATGGAACTCTAAATATTTTTGTTGTATGTTATTGGTTACCATAATGTACCCAACCACCCCACCCCAAAAAAAAAGAATTCACCACGCCACTGCCTATGTGTACCTATGTACGTATATTATTTAATTAATTATGTGATGTTGCGTCTTGCACAGATATTGGTAAGGTAAATCCAAATGTATTTTTAAGTTTTAACGAAGCATATCGGTAATATCGGTTCCTTCACTTTTGATAATGCTAGTTAGTATCTACTTACAAGTGCTAAATGTTAGTAGAGTTAAAAGTTTAATATTTATTCTGAATAAATTATTCAACGTGATGGAATTTACAACAATGTTTAGACAGAATGGCAAACAATTAACAGTGTTAGACAATTTTAAATTCAAATTTAAATATGAATCAAAAATAAGTGGTTTTTGATTATACGTACATTACGATCTCTTAAAATAATTTTTAATAATAATAATATTTTCAAATTTAAAATGGTTTTTCCTTTATTTTTCTCCTAATACTCTATGAGTGTCTAGAAGTTCTATTGAGTATAATATTATAGGTAATGTTCATGTTACAAGATAGGGCACAAACTACAAACGTTATCGATCATGAAGTTAAGCCACGGATAAAATACGAATTATAGCTGTCATAATACGTATTATACCTAATTAAACGATAAACGTATAATATTTAGGTTATCGTATCGATATTTATAAAGGTAGTACATATAGAAGGTATATAAAACAAATTGCCGCAGTTTGTATAATGTAAAATTTTTTTTTGCCGCAGTTTACATATCAACTTTTAGAAAAAGGTTCATTTTGCCGCAGTTTACCATCTCCCGTCGCCTACCCCTTGAGCCGAGCCTGATTATAGATATAATGGTGTATGCAGGGAGCTACAAATAATTTTGAATTAAAAATTGTGTTTAAATGCAACACCCGCGTCTCACCCTTCACATCTCACACGTTTAAGCTATAGTTTATTTACTTATCATTTCAATATTAAGTTAACCATATAGTTAGAATAGCATAATTCTTACTTGTTCCGTCATCGGTGTAGATCAATAGTAATGTATTTTCGGGTGATACAAAGTCAAACACGCTGAGTAAATGTGTGTGACTACCAGACTCCGTGACGCATTGAACAAGCATACCATGGTTGTCTTTGAAATTGTTCTTCGACAGTCTTTCTATAGCTGGTGTTACGTCAAAACTGATAACTTCTGACTTTGATACTTTTGACATATTAATTGATTTCGAATCGATAATTCTATAAGTAAAAATATTATATGAATTTCATGATTAGATATTAAAAATAAAATATATTTTCATGTATATATATATATATATATATATATATCATTTATATCTATTATATATACATATACACAATAATATTGTTTGCTTATAATTATACCTGAGAATAGGTTTTGATATGCCTTTGATGCCAGGTTGGACTATATCATGTATAATCACATGAATAAGTTCTTCATTTCGTAGTGTTGTATCGTATACCATTGTAAAACGAACTTCAGCAGCTTTAACCTGTTCTCGTTCAGGTATAGAATCTATATCGAACTGTAGCCTATATCTTTTAGACTTAGCATTAATTGGGGCTGATCCTATAAAAATATAATTATAAAATAATTATTCTCATTACTCATCAAATCTATTCTACTAAAATATATTAGCTCAGGATAATGTAATTTTCAATATAAATTAGTATAATAGTTTAATAAAACGTTTAAAGGTATAAAACATTAATTATAACTGGTTTGTAATAATATAGGTACCTAACTATATAATATAATATATACTTTTATTTTTATATTTAACACATCAACTGTATGGTTATTAGACGTTTATTATGGAAGGGGGTGCGGTTGGTTTCAAACATGTGTATATGGGGTGAGGATTCGTCACTAAAAACCCGGATGGGTGCTAGCGAAGTCGGTCAATGCTTGACCTCAGAACACGTTAGTGACTGCGGCCAACCACCATGCCACACCAGGCCCCATATGTAACCATAGTTTATGTAAATCATAAATATAATATTATACGTATGTACCTATATTTAATATAAAAACCTATTAATTACCTTTGTTGGAATAGGTCCTAGCAGTATTAGCAGACGTTGTGTGCAAACCAGGAAGAGGAAAATGAGTTGTCATTGAATTGTTCTCTTCTAACATTGATTTATACAGTTCCATTGTGGCAGATGGTATCTTCATATTTTTCTCTACTACAGGTCTTCGGCTTAAACCTAAATAATAAAACGATAGTTTAATCTTAAATGCAATTATTTACATCCAAGCATGCTTGAATTAACTATTGCAATAATAAATTAACTATATATTATACCTAATTTTGTAATTAAATTGTTTTCCACTTCTTCATATCCTGCGATGGCCGCCAATCCGGTGTGTAGCATGGCCAGCAAAATTAGTAAAATAATCATTGTATCTAAATTCAAAATAATTGATAAGTATATTAATATTAATTTATATTAACGCTACATGAAAATATACACGTGTAACATATTGTTTAAACATTTAAATATAACTATTAACCACTATTCACTAGTATGTGTACTATATGCCACCCACACGGCCACACTGATATTATACATAAAGAAATTTCGTGGGAGGATCCATCACCCATATCTCCCGTGTATACAATCATAGTTATCACTATCATCGGTCGTTGTTTTTAATTTTATTTTACGTGATAGACGGTAGTCTATAAAAATGTCCAAAACCAAGAATTTCCATGGTCACGATTTTAATTTTGCATAGATTTATATAATGTAGAGTTGGAGTAAGTGTCGCTTTTGAATTGAGTAATTTTTTTAATATTTTTTGTTTGCATAGGTACCTTGTGAGTTTCAACATTTAGGTTGTTACTAGGCCAATTGCAGATAAAAAAACCAGGGTGTACAGTGCACCCTGCCACAACCCAAATGCCGCAAGAATTAGTTCTTGTTGATGAAAGTGGCGGTTTTGTAGAGAGAGCCCTCCTTCCCTCGGGACTTAGTTACCTAATTAGTAATTATGAATAATCATAAATAATAATTTAAGGCAATTATTTTTAACATATATTATAGGTACTAGTTTTAAATAATTGTTACAAAAAGGGGAAAAACAACCGAAAACCACGTACTGGCGAATTACACGAAAATATAAAATAATGAAAATTAACAATTAAACGATATCGAGTATACGATTATAATATACTGTAAAAATAAAAGCGTATATTATATTCAATTCAATTGTATAGTAGGTAGAATAGCTGTTTTCTTTTTTTTGGAAATTCGGCAGGCGCACAGCCCCTTAAAGTCTCCACTGTATCATAGTATCATGTGGTGTACCTATATACTATCATATGCTATATATTATTATTATGATAAATAAATAACCATCGTGGCTTACCTGATGCAGCTGTAGATTGTATTATTGGGCCCGGTGATGTCGTTTCAGAAATACCATGTGCAGCGTGGATGCGAAAGAATTGAGTCGACAATATGCGTATTATGATTTATATAAAACGTTATAATATTTATTACGGACGGACGTTGTTTGACGCGCACTTGGGCCGTTGAGCGTACCAACTAGCTGTACAATATTAAAATGTAAAGGTGCAGAGTGCAGACGATCAACTGGTCCCGCACGCATACAATTTTATTTTTACGTTATATTTGTATGCAGAAGAGTCGCGATACGAAATGCTGGCTATACTACGTACAAGACGCGCGCGATAGGTTTCTGCAGCACAAATGCACACGACCAGATCGAACAAGAGATGATATTGAAATGATGGGTCCGCAGGGTCTATTGCCGGTCTATTGTGTACGTACATAAAATATAAACATAATAAAATGTATATTGTATATATATATATATCCAAGCCATCACACGTGTGACCGACCGGCCGGCCGGCCGCCGCCGCTGGAAATCGGCAGACAAACGGGCGACGGGCGTCCGCTATACGGCAGGGGACGTGACGAGCGGGGGATCGTAGGTACGCGTGGTGTGTGAGTGCGTGTGTTTGAGGTACCTTGGAATGGGGGTGGGGTAGTCGATGGACAATACTAGGGCGTGGTTTTCGTATTTCTGGAAACCAGGTTTCACGGCGGCGGCCGCAATATAATATAGGGACCTACCTAATGGTATTATACACTTATATACCTACGCACATATATATACACACGCACTCACGCACGCACATACATGAGCACACACACACACACACACACACACACACACACACACACACACACAAACACACACACACATATATTATTACTATACGTGCGACGTGCCTATACCATGCGTCGTATCCTTGAAAACATCCCTATGGTTTTGCCGCTGTTTCTACGCGATTGTTTTTAAGTACTTAGATTTACTATGTTGTGTATGTGAATTCCACACATGTCAACGATTGCGATTACATATACCGGTAGATACGATTGAACATTTGTACAACAAATGTAATTTTTGTATGATCCTTCAATGTGAAAAAGAAAAGTGGTACAGAAGGACGTGGAAATGTGACCAACATTGATTTAGGATATTATATCTTGATTTTTGTACCCATTCCCGCGGAGATTCGATGACCTTAACGTCACTCCTTCATTCAATTACGATATCATTCTAATTTTTAACCGTTTCAGCAACATCGTCACAATAAGGGCAATTCGCAATCTCCATAGATATTACAATAATAATTGTCTAACGATACTGTAATGAACATAATCTAATATACATATAAATAATAAGTTATTTGTATATAAATTAGGTAATATGTTATTTTATTAAAACTTAAAAGTATCAAAAACAATAAAATATAATATATACCGTGCGTATTCATTCATATACTTACGTAATACACTAATACGTATGTCAGGGGCGTAATTAAGGGATAGATCCTCTAGATCCTGTATAATATATATAAGCCACTCATCAATGTACTTAAAAAATGAATTATTTTGTTTGTAAAAAAGGTATACCCCCTCCCCAGGACAAATTCCTAATTACGCCACTGACGTATGTGGTTATAAGACATATAGGAGTTGTAGTATGATATTAAAAAATATCAAAATTTAATATATTTTGGAGTTGGCCATTTTTAGCTAGGTTCTACTTTGCCTAGCGTCGGCATGAATCTTAAAAAGTATATAATATTATTAATTATTAAGATGGTACGGTTATACGGTGAATTTGAAGTATAACATTAACTAGACGATTGTCTAGAGTTGTTTACTGACAATAATAATATCGAGCTGAAATACTTGATATTGGAATATATACACAAAACGTTGTAGTGCGTAAGTGTGTAATGCACCGTTCCGTTTGGTTGTTTGAACACGAGACGGCTTGACGCCGATGTCCAGCTGCTTATTCTAAGTAGGTAAAAACAGATGTGTATAGACCAGCGGGCGGTCATGGTGGTCTTTTTTTTGTTCCTTTTTAACATGAAGTAAGTACTGAAATTGGGGCGGTAAAGGTCAAAATGTAAGACCGCTGATAACTGTTGGTGCCACGCAGTCTGTACATGCTATAGTTGGCGGCAAGCATTTGACAACTGCAAACCAGACCATAAAATAATATAATATATAATATATTATATACATATGTACATAGTGCATTAGGGCAACATCCAACCTTTTTTTACGGCGGGCCAATTTGAGATCGGCTTTGGAAACGCGGGCCAACATTTTTATGTAAGACTATTATAAGCTGTTATGAATAACATTAAAAGAAAAAACTAATAAATTTATTTTATTTAATTAATTCAATAAATGAAAAACAATGAAAACTAAATGACAATAATATATTAAATATATTATTTTCAAAACATATTAGCTTGGCGGGCCGGTATAAAACTTTAGTAACCTCTTTACCTCTGCATTAGGGCATACTGTATAATGTGTATAAACGTATTATAATAATATATTATAATTTTATATTATTATGTATAGTATATATTACTATATACATGCGAGGTTGCCAAATGTTCAGGTTACTCGTGGACTGTGGTCGGTTCGTAATTAAAAGCATAACCCTAGAAAACTCATTGTTTAACTGGTAGTAAATTGTGGAAAAAAGATGAAAAAAAATTACTATGACTATAGTTACAGGTAGGTAGTAGGTACTATCTAACTGTAATACCAAAGATATTATCACGAATCAACGAAGTGCCTTAGTGAGTGAAAATAATCGTTGTTTCATCGCAATTTATCGAATCGTACATAGCACAAGGATTGACGAATATTCGGTGAATATTTGAGTGCTTTAGAAATAGGTACACGTCTGTATTCGAAAGCCATTCCTCATATTTACAGTTTTGGAATACTACAATGCACTTTACTTATTTATAACAAGTATAAACTACCAAGTATATTTTTTCTATACGAACTCCAACTATTGGTCGACTGTAGACACTTGGTTAAAATGGGCATTATTACTCTCGATAGAAGTTTATTATGTACATTTAATTCAAATTTACTCAAAATTGAGTTTTATCGAAATCCATTCACGAGTTCTTATAAATTAATTAAACGTGTCAATGAGGCAAGCAATGTGATTAGGTGTTCGGTTCGGGTCTCCTTTAAAGGAATTAAAGTGTCTATTTTACACTATTTCGTTTGATGTATAAGTCGATTCATAGAAATGTTTTCCAAAACGTGCCAGATACAATGCTTGTATGCCGGCAGTCGGTACCATACTGTCTGGCGAGGAACCGACGAAACGTTTTTTTTAATCGTTCATGCATTTGTATACGGAAGTAGGTATTCTTATTTTGTTGAAAATAAACACATTTCTGGCAGAAAATAAATATGTCAGCTTCGTATTTTCACTATCGTTTTGTCCAAATAATAATGACCATCAAAAACCACAAAATATTACAATTGATGAACAGTGCTATACTGTGGTTGAATACCTGAATACCTACATAATGGGCATATTGACATGTTTATTGATTAGATATTTACTACCAATATTTTGAGTTAAAGTATTTATTTATTTAATTTTATTCTATAAGACACGTGAGGTAGGTATATATTATGTATTATTTATTCGTAGGCGTATAAATAATATTTTATGAATTGTAAATTTATAAAATGTTATCATTTTGAAAATTTAATAGGAAATAGGTTTTAATAGTTCTATGATTTTATGCATATATTATGTAAATTATCACCCAAGTCAAGGCAATCATAAACATTTGCCTTTTTTTTGGTCAGCTCCCATTTCGCCGCCATTTAATTTCGCCACGGTACCGTTTCGCCGAATTTATTTTTTAAGTAACTCTTTAACTCTCAACTTAAGATTACTCAACAATTATTCATTGTTTTATTTGTAGTTAATAAGTAATAATAATATTTTCAAATGAATCATTAATTCATCAATTAATAATACTCATAATAATATTATACCAAATCTGCAAAATAATTTGATT